TATATTTAAACTAATTAGCTATGCATTTGAAGGGGCATGCAGCCTCCCAAATAGAGTTGGAAGGGTCATTTTTTAATTTTTTATGTTTCACATCATGTATATAGACTGACCAGGTCAGTTAGGTCACCGTATCTGTATCATGATGGAAAAACCTTCCCAGCACTTATTTTCATGCCATAATATTTTGATAACAAGAGCAGTTGTACCATTACTGCTGCTAACTTTATGTGGCAAGTCCACCTGTTATCTTTTCTCTGCTCACTTCCTGTACTATAATAAACCACATCCAGACTGATTGATCTATATAAACATTGTAGAATCTATATGATTCATCAGCAGAACAAGCAAGAGGACAGGACGGTGAACACATTGTTTGAGCCTTCTTGTACAAACTCTACAGCAGTGTTTCTCAAATCCGTCTTTGGGAGGCATCAGTGTTACTCCAGCTTGACTCATAATAATTTGTAGTGCATTATGTTTTAGTTTTCTGAGTTTTAGAATCCTACTGTCATGCCAGGTCATCACATTTTTGGCCCCTGGGCACAAACATTTAGTGGGCCCCTTTTCTGCCAACCATTTTTGGACCATCAGGGAATTTTTACAATATCACAGCAGGCTACATGAGGGTTATGCAGCACCACAATGGTAGCATGCAAACCGCAGCGTTGGACACCACTAGAAGTGCATAATTTTTTCCAATCCAGACAAAACATTAGCAAGATTACTTACCCATTAGTGAGAGCACAGGTTAGTATAAACTCAACAGCCAATGCAACATTTGCCTGTAGAATATGTGACCGCTTTTGACAAGAAAGCATTTATGCAGACGACAAATTAAAATGAGCAGAAATGTGCACAGTATAGATGGAAGAAAGCAGCAAACCTAAAAGCCCAAATTGTCAAGCATCCTAAACAAAAGCATGCTGCCATGGTTGGCATAGAAAATGTTTTTTTTCTCATTTATATTGTAACTCTGGTGACTTTATGCACAGACCTTATTAACTTGGATGGCTAATATTTTGTATTTGGTTTTGGAAATGGTTGTCTGAAAGAAAAATATTTCACTATAAAAGTTCCCACTGTGAATCTGAACAGCTGTTTAGATTTTCTCATATTTGCCTGTGGGGGCCCCCATGTGCACATGCCCATAAAATCCCTAAGATAATCTGGGCCTGCCTGCTAAACAGCAGCATAACATAAATCAAGGTTAATGTCCATTAAAAGAACATAACTAATGTCTCCTCTGTGTAGGTTTGATTATTTTTACGTTCAAGACTCTTAGCCACTATGTTGCACAATTCTGCATGGCTTATTGTGCTGAATAGTGGTTTGTTTATTTATTTATTTATTTTTGGGATATATTACCTTATTTATTGATTGATGGTTTTTATTTCTGAATTTGCAATCACAGTTTGGACTGTTAAAGACCAAATAATGTTATTTATATTAGGACTTTGGCTAATAGAAAGTACTGGAAATGTGCAACAATCTTTACCAAGTGTTTTACAAGTGTTCTACACAGATCCAAATCTTTTTTTTTGCTGCTTTTTGAAGTTCTTTAAACAACCATATACATTAGGTTTCCCATCATAGACAAGAACCATTTAACCACTTTTTTGTGCACAAGAGTATACTGTTTCATGTGTCTATTTAATCCACACAGTGTGAGCTTCAGGTAAAAAAGACAACTAAAATAGAAAAGGCCAATTCATTGGGTTCAAGCCCCAAATGAGCAAACTAAGGACGACCGTGGCAAGGAAAAACTCCCTCAGAGCAAGAGGAAGAAACCTTGAGAGAAACCAAGAATCAAAAGGGGAATCTTTCTAAAGAACTCAGAATAGCATGAGGCAGGTCAATGTCTAAGACTGAATCGTTCTAGATACGTTTTGTGCAGACACCAACCTCATTTGTAGTTACCTCTAGTAACCTCTGCCTCTCATTTTCTGTAAATGTCTTGTTGAGGTAAAGTGTTCACTGTTCTCTGAACATCAGGCTGGTATGTGCCTATGAGAGCCCATAAACACAGAGGTATACAGGAACTGGAACCGCAAAAACCCAGTTAGAGGTATGCATGCATTCAAACATATTTCCATTCAGCATAGCAAGCCACATTCACTTTCTGTAAAAGACCCTCGTACATTCTGACCTATATAGAATAAACCACACTCGGTAGCACTCTGACTCGGCACAGAGCAATGCCAATGTAATTTGTGTTATTTTTAGTGCAAGTAAAGCTTGAAAGGCATTTGTCTCAGGCCTTTACAGTAATTAACAGAACATCTGTTTTCATGCACTGCTGAAAAAGATATACGGTAACCAACAACCTGAGAAATCAAAAGAGAATGAGTTTTTTTTCTTCACAGCAACTCATTGAGGGTTTGTATTGGTGAAGGTGTTTGGGTTTGAGACCACTGTGGTAAAAGTTGTCTCTGTTGTTCTGACACTTGTCTTCAAAGTAACTTTGTTGCCATATATGATCTTATCTGTCTAGACACCCATGTAGTCTGAATGAAATTAAAGAGTAGTAATGCCACAATGCATACATCTTTTAATCTAATTTTGACTTTAAAGGAAATGGCAGTGTGTCCTGCAACGTGAACTACAATCCAATCAAATCGCTGTAAATGTAGCCATGCTCAATTATATTACATGCCTTAAACAAAATGTTTTGTGCCATACTTGCCTACAGACTTGTCTTAAATCTGCCTTTTACAGCTAAGAACATTTGTTTTCAATCAACTCAGTAGTTATCTTGGCAAATAATCAGCTTCCGACCTCAACAAAGTACTGAAACTGCACGCATGAAATTGTTAAATGATATACAGCTGGATACTGAATCAGGTAAAATATCAGTTCTGATTTCACTAGATCTCAGTGCTTCATTTGACAACACACTGTTGATCATAAAATACTGCTTTACAGGTTGGAATATTGGGTAGAACTTTCCAGAACAGTCCTTAATTTGGTCAGGTCTTATTTAGAAGGCCAGAGTTATTTTGTTACCATTGGCAGTTATGAATCTGATGGGGCAGCTATGACATGCAGAATCCCACACGGTTCCGTTCTCGGACCTCTTCTGTTCTGTCCCTTGGGCCAAATTAGACAGTACAATGGTGCTGATTTCTATAGTTATGCATTTGATATACAAATATATCAGACTCTCTCACCAAATGACTACAGCCCAGTAGATTCCATGTGTCAGTGTTTGGAGCATACAAATAACTGGATGAGCCAAAACTTCCTTCAGTTCCTTCAAGGACAAAACAGAGATTATTGTGTTTGATGCAGCTGCTAGAGTTTTAACCAGGCTGTTAGCTGTTATGCTGCATACAACTGGAACAAACTCCCAGAAGAGCTTAGATGTGCCCCAAATTTAGCAATTAGGTTAAAAACATTTTTCATGTGCCTATGATTGAGCTCTGAGACTTGCACTCTTCTTATTACATTTTACCTTAAATAAGCTCGTTTTAATAATACTTAAATATTTTGTTTTAATTCCCTTTTATGTTTTTATTCTATGTTATGTACTCTGTACTTCTTTTTAATTATTATTTTAAAAATATTTTTCACTCTTAAGCACTTTATTTTTCCATTTCATGTTCCTTTTGCTTTATTTACACAAAGCACACTGAATTGTTTTTGTTTATGAAATGTGCTGCATAAATAAATATGCCTTGCTTACTGCTGGATGATGACTGTTGGTTAAAATTAAGATGTTTTAAAACTCCAGAAATGCTTCTGTTCCTGGTACACTGCTTTGCCTCTACAATGTCAGTGTCACAGTCACTCATGCTAACTTTAAAGGGCAATTCCAATGATTTTTTAAACGTTTTGCATGATTTAACCCTTAAGGTGTAAATAAAGCCATTCAGTGTGATTTAATGTGAAACGCTCTGTTCTAGACAAACTAAGTCAGAACTGTTCACAGTGGTGGTGATAGGAACAAGTTGTCTGAAGAGTTTAATGCCCTGAAAAGCTACCTTACAGGAAGTTATTCTTTTCAGAATATCTTTTCAGATTTAACACTATTTTACCATTATGAGTATTACATCTAAAAACTCAGAAGACACATGATAAATAAAACTGCTACATTTGCACTGTACACATGATGACCCCTGATTCTTATCACCACCACTGTAAATACATTAGAGTTTCTCTACAATGATACTTCACATCATATCACTCTGACTTTGATTGCATCTCAATGTTTAGATTAAACAGAATGTTTAGAAAATTGGGGGGGAATTCCCCTTTAAAATATCTGAACTGAGTTTTTTAAAGAAAACTGAAGCTCTGTTCTACTTTATACTAGGGATGCATGTTGATCACTCATAATATCAGTATCAACAAATATTTACTCTGTCAAAAAAATATTGGCATCAGACAGATTTGTTTAGATTTGACTGAAATCTCAAACTGATGTTTGATGACTCACCTATTTACTGTACTTCGGAAGAGAAGGATTTTTTTGGTTAGGCTGGGCTACTGAGCTAAGATATCTGCATTTATTAAGTTTACTGCATTTGTAACCCTCGACAAATGAGTTATATTTCTCTGCAATGCTAATCCAGGTGGGTTTAGTCCCAATTACTACATTTTAGAAATGCTTATGTATCGGCATCAGCAGATATGCATATAAAAAATATTAGACATTGATACTACTTGCCTCACCTGGTTTGATGGGAGACTTTATGGAACAGGAATTGGCAATAAGCAACTGTAAACAGGCCTTTTTCTTACTTATTTATATCTAGATGGGATGGAAAAGTACCTTTTATAAATCCAACTACTGTTTAGCCTCAAGCATTTAATAGTAAATCCTGAAACTTATCAAACTAATAATACTGACTGCACTTATGAACAGTGATAATCATGAGATGCATCTGTAATTAATGTATATAAAAACAATGTTTTGAGTTTTAGCAAGTTCCATAATGAATCTGGTGAGTATAAAGCAGTATGAGAGTTCAGTAAGGTAAGAATTTGGGTGACTATACTGCCCTCTATTTATGTGTGTCTAATGCAAATATAGGTGGGTCAGTCATCATACTGTAAATAGTCTCAAAGCAAAAAGAATGAAACAGTTCTTGTCAAACCGGCCTTCGGAAATGCAAACAGTTCCATCCTTCATGCCTGAAGAAACATTTTAAACATCATTTGATAAACAAAGTTAAAGCAAATGTGTCAGAATTTTTCTTCCTTCTTCCTTCAGACCAGCCTGACATACAGACTCATCACAGAGAGGTAGGTAACACAGAACTTGCTAACTTTACTAAAAACTTTACTGATAAATCAGTTACAATGATGGAATATAATATGAAGATGAATGTATACACTGTTCAGCCATTAGTGATAATAATTAATGTGAGTCCCAGTTGATTTTGATCTATGATATGCAGTTTATTTGGTATGTCAATACAGCTGTATGCAGATAAGCAGATCTCTGTAGTGTATTGTGAGTTAAACTTAATGACAGTTTACTGTAGAACCAGATTTTTATACTTTCATCTGAATTTGCTGTAAGAGAGGAAATAAATGAAGGTTGAATTTAATTTGACTGACGGCTTCATCCTCCAACACCATTAAGGAGGAGACATAAACTCCATGCTGACTAACAGCCCAGAAATGCCTGCAATTCCTTCATTCATTAAAAAAACAAACAGTTTGGTCATCATTTGACGGGTTTGGCTAACAGGCTAACAGGTGTCCTTGTTGAGTGACCTGGTAGGAACTGAGTGGAGCTCAGTGAAGTGGAGGTAGGTGAAAGTTTTCAAATTCAATGGATTTTCTATTTTACATAATCAAATAGTTGAATGACTCCTTTTGTCTGACTTTAACAATCATGTGCTGAATATATTGAGTCACAGTTAATGTCAATATTATTGTCTCCAAAGAATGAGCAGATTATCATTATATAATATACATTTATAATGATTTATAATGATTTTATATAGAAAGATGGTTCAGATTGTGCTCTAACTGAAAATATAGATTCAGATTACTGTAGAAACAGACGTTTCGGAGTGTAAGAGATTAGACGAAGGTTTATTATAATGTGAGTGACGTTGTGATCCTACGCCATGTAGGACGAGACCAGCTGTATGTTCTGTCGCCATTTCAAAGAAGCGCAGACAGTCATCGGTTGGAGCTCAGAGCTGATCTGCTGTACTAAACATAGTTTCAGTTCATAAAGAATGAAAAGATTGCTGACAAACTGCTGTTGGAAATGCCTGCAATTCCTTTCTTCCACTAAAGAACTGGACACTGTCTGACGGATGTGGCTGACAGGCTGCTCTTGTTGTCTAAACTGAAGTGTGACGGATCTGAGAGGAGCTCGATGAAGAACGGTAGGACAACACATTCACTCAGATTAAAGACTGAAGATTAGAGATTAAAGAATGAGCAGTTCATCATGAGATTATATAAATTTATACTGATTTTATATACAGTAATATTGTACTATAGATTAAAGTTTCACTTGAGAGTGACATTTCAGATTACAGTTAAAATGATAAAAAAAAGCAGGAAGTAACTCCAGTTGGTGTTCTTTAGGAAAGAAAACTGAGCTGGAAAAGTAAAACTGACTATTACTGAAGACTCAGTCTATATTATCAGGAAGTAAAGATTGTTTGATGGGAGAATTAATGTATTATTTGTTGTTTATCAGGATATTTTGGTGACTGTTGTCTTTAATACTGTGCTCTGTTGGAGGAATGACAGAAACAGGATAAATACACTGATTACAAAAGTAGATTGAGCTGTTGGTGTGACTCCAGATATTCTAGAGCTCATTCTGGAGAGCAAATAAGAAACTGCAGATTGTCTAGAAGTTAAAAAAGTATCCACTATACAGATATTTTAGTCCTTTGGTCCAACAGCAGTCAAAGTTTTAATGAGTTGATTGAGTAATTATTTATTTATTTGGGGTGCTTTTCTACTGATAATCAAGTTATGAAAAGTCTTGGTATTGTTTGTTTGTCTGTATTGTATTTTGTGTTATAAGTCTAGCATAAAATGCCATATAAATTAATAATGAAATATAAAAATGATAATGAACTAATCATAAATCTGTAAATAAATGTGAAAAATAAAATAAATTAATAATATTCTGAGAGTGATGGAGGAAGGAAAAGTACTACGAACTGATTAACCAGTAGTTAAAGTTCTGTGATTAAGAGAAAAAAGGACAGGGCACACATTTCCAGAAATGACTAAACTGTAGTTTAGTGTGTCAAATAGTTCAATTTTTTTGAGTCTATAAAGGATGAAGTGTTTCTAACTTTAAGGTTTTAAACATTATTATACTGGTATTACATGGTAATCTTATGTGTCATACTGTGTTTCATGCAGGGTTATTAACACTTATTGGATGCTCTCCTAATGCTGCTGATCTACTCCTACACTGCTTTGACCTTTTAATTTTTGAAAAATAGAGAAATGTACGATTTAAGGCAGAACTGAAAGAGTTTTAGTGGTCACCTGAAAAGCCAAATTTCAGATATTGAAAGTAATACTAGAAAGTAGTTCATCATGAAAAACACATATTCTGAACAGTAGAGGGTGATGTTGTTCCATTACTGACTGGCTCAGCAGCTCACAATAATAACAGAAGCAGGGGTGGTATTTCACCTCGCAGGATTTCTCAGTAAGCACAATAATTTAAGCCACAAGTTGATGGTTTTTCATTACGAATGTTTATTAGCTCTTCTGCTGTTGGACAGGCTTTTTTGGCCTAGGTTAACTGAGAAATCCTGTTTTGTGAAACACCACCTGGATCTCTGTCAGCTAAACTAAACAAACAAAACAACTAATAAATGGTCAAATAATTAAAGGTCTACTGTGACTGATATCAACTATGTGTGCATCTTCCTTCTTCACTGAAATGGGTTAGAGAAGGTTTGAGTGCTTTAGTAATTACAGCTTTATTAAGGTTATTCTCAAGATTTTGCTAGTAGTAGAATAACTATAATTATTTGACATTAGACTATTTCTACAGCATTGAATAGGCAGTGATGTGTTTAGGCTTTGACTCTGTAGACTTTTACTGAAGATACAGAGCACGAAATACTCTGGACACACCTTGAAATTTGAAAGGCTGAGCTGCAGACTGAAATCCGAAGCAGCTCTATTGTTGATGGTTGTCAGTAGATCTAATTTCTTGATGACCTCACTTGTTTCTGTTTCATTCTTACTTTTCCAAGCCGACTTTAACACTGCTAGTCTAAATATTGAGCTGATTTTGGTGTCTGATGAAATCTCTTATGAGAGATTTCAGTGAATCAAACTACCCAAAGGCGTTGGCTTACTCAGCGTGCAAATGAGTCATTTACATTGAAGAAAAGAAAAAAAAAAACAAGTTGGGGCAAGCTGCGCCACCACCACACACCATCAGCTCATGAAGTGAAATAAACACTACATTTTCCATTTTCTTCCATTATAGGTACTACCAGTGTTTCACCTCGCACAATAAGCGTGTCAGTAAAGGTAGGATAATCATTAAACAGACATAACAAACACAAGTCTATAAGAAAGATTTATTACCCCTTACAGGAACACAGAACTCTACACTGGTTGTTTTTCACTACAATCAGCTTTTGGTCTCTATTATTAATTCTTATGATTTTAAATAATAATACTGATGAGTATTATTATTATTATTATTATTATTATTATTATTATTAAGGGCAATTACACATCCACAAGTTCATGCTGATCTGTAATTATTTTATGATATGATAAGTTAATGTTGGGTAACTTTTACTTGAAATAGCTAAAACCTCTGTTTTTTAAATGCAAAGTCCCTTCATGTATAGCTTATAACTAACTCATTCAGTCACTTATTCACTTAAGTGTAGCATACAGAGCACTGATCCAACTTTTTCTCTGATACCTGAACTCAGGACATCAGCTAATACCATATACCATTTGGATATTTTTTTCTCTGTCAATTTAAAATCCGTATAATTTAGATAATGTGCTGTTATAATTGAAGAGTTAATTCCAAACATATATCTATTTGAAGAAAATTTTGGTTAAAATGAGACACACTGGACAACAACTTCATATTCATCCATATTCTTCTAATTTGTTTTAGGGCTACAAAGTCTAAATGATCACTGTAAGCATCTTAATTACAACCTTATTACTTTAAAAGCAAAAGACTGACAATTCAAATTTTTAACCCTACATTAAGTTGGTAAAGTGTAAAAGTCTGAATTAGTTATTTGCTGATGAAGCTGATGCGAGGTACAAAAGAATTAGAAAAGCCTTCCTGCACAGGGCTTTTATTCTGATGTACGTTGTTAAGAGGGGCTTTTATTTTGACACACTGCAGCCCTTTATGTAGGCTTTTAATTCTTGCAAAGAAACACTTACTTTCATCTATTTAAACTTGATTATTTTATAAGGTGCAAAAGTATATTTGCTTATTGACCGCTCCAGTGTACAGGATCAATGCATCACTAGTTTAGCAGACTGAAAATTCTAAAGAAGGGGGTGCTTTTAGCAGTCAAATAGCTTTTGGTGCTTCATAAGTGGAGTACTTTGCATCACCAGCTCTGTGTGGCCTCGATTAAATACAGAAAAGCAAGGAATGGCTTCAGTAAACTCATCATCAGGGTCTGTCTCACAAAGCAAGTTCAGTTTGGACAGACTTCCTGACTTTACAGCCTCACAAAACCTAACAAATGGAATCACACAACTCAAGTTTCATGATGGCGGTGAACAAGTTTCTCTGTTGACCCATTTTTAGGCTGTTTTCAGACTGCAGGCAAATCAGATTTGTTTCTCAAATCAGACCTTTTAAGACAACTGTCCTCACTGTTATTTGCGTGATCAGATTAGCTTTCTCTGTCCAGTCATCACCATCTGTGTGGGATGTTGTGTTAATGATGTAGTCGTCAGTAACTACGTAGCTACACTAGTGATACAGAAGTTTCAAATGCAGAAGCAGGAGAGATGGAAGTGCATCATCTCGCCCTCCAAACTCTTCAGAATTTTCTGGCATAAGAATTAATTCTTGGTGCTCTTCTTGAATCCCAGCATTTTCATCACTCTGGATTTGACACTGTCGTTGTGAGTGACGCCAAAGACACTTTGAAATCTGATTTGAGCGACCAGAGCGTCCAGACTGAGACCCATCTGTAAAAATCTGATTGGAATCACATTTCAAATCACCTCCAAATGTGGTTTGGATCCAATTTACAAAAAAGTGGATTTCATGTGTTTTTAGCTGTCCAGACTATCAAAAACCCGAATAAAAATCTGAATGCAATCTGGATATGACAAAAATCAGATTTGGGTTGGCAGTCTGAACATAGCATAGACTCTCGGGCGAAGATCAATGACCGTGCATGTGCACAAAAATGTGTTGTTCATAATGAACAGCCAATCATGTGAAACATGAGTAATCAAATAGATTATTTCTCAAAGAAGGATAAAGGAATCATACCACATACATTTGTAGAAAGTATTTCTCACAGTGCAACACTGTCACTGTGTTAGTGATTACTGGAGTAATGAGTGCTTTATATTCTTCATATCTGTGTAGTATGATTTGTTTCTTCTGCTAAAAAAAGCAATGTTAGTGATGACAAATGAAGAAAAAAAAAGTGACCAGAAGGGTCCACCTTGGTCAGTCCCTGAATGGTCTACAGCTCTGCACAGATTTGTCCAAAAGCTGTTTCTGATTTGAAATCCAGAACTTAACTGGTACTTAACTTAGATGCGCAGTACAATTGGCTATGGTGATGTAGCTCAGTAAAAGTGATCCACCCTTGTGAGAAAATCCAGGATTAGACTGAAGATTAAAGTTAGCTGGCTAAGCAAGAAATCCTGCTTGGTGAGACAGACTCTAGATGTTCAAGATAGTGAAAAAAAACCTGATTAAACTGCTCAGGTAACTTCAGATGTAACATCTACTTAAAATAAATCAGTAAATAAAATCATGTACAATGATGAGTACAAAATGCTGAAACACCATTTTATAGCAGTTTAAAATGTAATGTTTTTATAAAATTCGTAGCGTCAACAATAAACACAGCATAAATACAGAAATGGATTGTGTGAAAGCTTATATACAATTAATACTTGTGACCAGTTTTCAAATGGCAGACAGGTTAAAAATACTGACTAAAACTAGGCAGTAATCAGCAAAGAATGTAAAAATGTAAGTAAAAAGGATATTCTCATTCTGAAATAGTGAGTTGCTTCCTGATGCGTGAGTACACCACTAAGTCACTCTCGTCTTGAATTTCTGTCACTCCAGCTCTGTTTACCTGTAAAACACAGCAGTGTACTTCAGTACAAACAAATGGACTGCAGGATAAAACTGTTCAGATAATTTGACACCACATTGAAAATCTGGGAAATAAACAACAGAAAGTTTTAGAATTTAGAAAAATTTAAAACAAAGCAATGCAATGCAAAATTTGTGTGTTTCTGCACTATTTCAAAAGTTAAAATATAATTAAAATTTAAGCAAATTTGTGACTAATTTAATTAATAACAACTTTTTTATACAGAAATGTCGACTCTCAGGTGGATTTACGGGTGGTCTACTAATCAGAGGCTTTTGCACAAACTTGGGTAATTCACGCAGCTCAAGTGCATGCTGTCATTAAGGGAAAAAAAGAGGGTCTAAATACCAAATACTAAGAAATTCTGAAATTTATTTTAAGATTTCAACTTGTTCACGAACCTCAGAAAAATAAATACAGTGATATGTAAGATAATGATGCAAAAAATCATGAAAATACTTTCTACAATATTTGCCATATTGTTTATCATTAAACAGCACTCCATGGTATTTAGATGTTACTGTAATAAAGCCCTGGAACATTTCTGACTCCATTCTAAAATGACTACAAACAGATCAACATATATAAGAGTAAATTACATTACAGTGCACAGACATTCTTTGATAATAATGAAAGCATAAGAAAGTGCAGAGTTGTACAAATGTCTCGACACGTTGGTCGAACCAGCCAGATTTGTAGTTTACAGCGTCATCATGTCTTTGAGGACAATTATTTGCTAAAGGGAAAATGTGCGGTTTGTATTTGAAACGACGATCCTCCCATACAAGCAGACTGAGTACACACCAGAACTCTATTTAATTACATAGAAAATAGTGTCTTTATACTGAACCCACTGAAGCTCTGAATTTGTTCTGTAGTAGCTTCAGAAAGAGCCTCACTGAATCCACCAAAATCATAATTTTCCGAAAATTTTAAGGTTGTGTATTAAGTTAGTAAAAGAACTAATACAGTAAACTTGTCAGTTATTACAATAAAGCATGTTTGAAAAGTCTGAAGCGATTTCATGAGGTAAGTTCAAACAAGTCATTTAACTATATAAATACAGTACATAGAAAGATGAGTATAAATTATTCTAGCATTTGTACACACATGCTAATTGTCGATCTCCATTTTTGTCGATTTTTGTTTTTCAAATCATGTGAACATGTCAGCTGTCTGCTGACTGTTGTGTGAAAAATTCATAATGAATAGACCAATAGAAATTGGAATAAAACCTATTTGAATTAACTTACATTAAAAGAACATGTTAACCTTGTCCTGTAAAGTCACTATTTTAGAGAAACACATTTTCCTTTGAACAGCAACATAACAAACAGCTGATTTAATGAGAACTGTTCTCATTCCACTCCTGTTCAATTCCAGCTGAGGATTTTTTTGTTCAAAACTGAAGTGCAATCAAACACAAATGTTCACATCATCATAATCAAGTGTATATAATCACAGCACAATAACTTCAAAAGGAGTAACTATTAAATCTGTAATAAACTCACCTCATGAGAATTCTGAGGTTTAGTTTTCACCTCAGCATAATTCAGCTCAGCATCTTCACAAACTACAGACATAAAAAGACAGAACAGTATATTTTAAGTGTGTCATCTGTAAAAGTAGTATCATATGCAAAACAAACAAGCAAGCAACAAACAAACAACAAACAAACAAAAAAACAGTAATGACAGACAACTGATGTTGCAAAACCAGATGTATTTCTTGCCTTGATGCTTTGTCTTCTTTTTCCAGATGCACACAAATAATATTGATAGAGCAACAATCAGTCCAACAGGTGTCAGAACTGCAGTCAGTGTCTTGGAGAGACCTCTAGGAACTATCGCACCTGAATGTGTTAAAATAGTATTTGCTTCAGTTAGTCAATTTAGTAAACAAATACATTTACATTGACTGTACAAAAGAGCAAAGACAATCATTTCTGTGTTAAACCTCAGTAATTAGCAGGTGGATTTTCATATGTAGGGCATCAGAGAAATTAGTGAAGTTTTTTTAGTTGTTTTTTTGTGTAACCAACTAGAATATTCATCTTTCACTGAGCAACTAACACACAAAGTCAAAGTAATAATGATTGTATTACTTACCTGCTTTACAGCAGACGTTTGTAATGTCGAGCTGAGTTGTCTGATTGCTAACTGGATTAGCAGCTACACAGGTGTAAGTAGAACAGTCTGGGTTAGTTATATTCAGAGGAAGAAAAAGACGTTCACTGGAATCTGAGCTACTGATGCTGGAGATTCTCTCTTTCTCTTCATACCAGGACAAACTCACATCCTTCCCATTCTCCACAGAGCACAGAGGAGAACACGACTCTCTGAGACTCACTGAGCGCTTTTCTGACTGATTTCTGATTACTGGCTTTAATACTGGAGCTATGAAATAGAAAATAAAACGACAAAACAGATAAGAGTCATTAAAAAGTTATGTACAGCACTAGAACCTCTACCAACAATAACAATATAAAATAAAGCTATTAATTACTAGCAGTACAAACACATCAAATCACTGCTAGTTTAAACTGAAATGTGTTTATTTGGCCTGTTTGGCTGCTGTGGAGAAGATTCAGTGCCTGAGCTTATGCTTCAGTTGTTGTTCGTTAAACTCAGGCAGGTTTCAGCACGTCTGATATCTACTGTGGCTCATAAATGGCACATCTGAGCTGTGTGTTAAATCTCTGTTATACACTGACTTACTTCTGCCTCTGATCAACTCCCGTTCATGCTGGTTCTGTATGAGATCTCATCTTGCATACATACACTCAACATATATATATATATATATACATATATATAAACTTAATTTATTATAAAAAACCCCACAATTCCTCTGCTAATAAGTTGCCATAACTGTTGCAGCATCACATGGTTACTCTCTCTCATCCTCTGAGTAAGGAAAAGTGCAATAAATATCTATTTTACCTCAAATATCATTCAGCTTTCCCAACTTTAGCTAAAGCATGATATTACCCAAAAGAAACTTTTAATTGTTTTTTTATAAGAATTGAGTCCAGCACAGCCAAGTGACTTATTCAAAGTGTGACAATAATGGTGTACTAGTAGAGGTATTTTTATTATTTTATTTATATTTTTGCATATCAGTCATGTTTTTGAGTCATACAAGTCTTTACAATCAGGGTTCCCTTTAACTAACATTCAACTAAACACTTTAAATCCAACTGAATTTTAAGTTGAATGTAAGAGATTATCTAAATCTAACCCTAAACCTCTAATCCTAACCTTAACCTCAACCCAAAGCCTAAATCTAATTCTAACCTAATACTAGCCCTGACACTACTGATAATCAATTAATTTTTTAATCGGACAGTTTGCTAACAATTTAAATATCTACAGACAATATATAGGGGACAATCCAAAATAGTTTGACCAAAAATGTGTGCTGTTAGATATTCATTCAAAATACAATTAAACAAAACTTCATCATAATATTTACTCACCATAGACATTAACACTGAAGCTCCAGACCAGGACCCGTCCAGTAATGATTTGTAGTTTATAAATTCCAGAATCGTCTCTGCTGATGTTTGTGATGGTTAAAGATCCACTGTTTCTGTTCAGCTGCAGTCTGTCTCTGAATCTCTCACTGTCATAGTCTGTAATAATCTCTCCTCTAATGATCTGACTGTTCACTATCTTTATATCTGCATTCTCAGGTCCATAAATCCACAGTATCTGAGCATCACTTTGAACTCCAGTTAATCCAGTATGAATGGTTACAGTGTTTCTCTCCAGCTCCTGCAGTCTGACAACCTCTTCTCCAGCTGAGTACAACAGACCTGAAACAGTGTACGATAAAATATTAGTCTATTGACACACTCACATACAGAAGACATTCCACATCAATTTATTTTCAAAGAGACTATCACAAATTGATCTGAGATTGAAAAGTTATACTGACTGCATAATGTCTTTTGTGCAGCATTACAATTTAATACATATTTAGTACAGGTCCATCAGGCTTTGTGCTGCATGTCTACTATGAAGAAACACTGATTGATTTCTTCGGTTTCCTTATTAATATTAGCAGCCATGTATTTTTTGGTAACACTGAAATTTAAAGGAAAGAAAGGGCCCACAATGAGCCCCCTAATGCAAAATTAATCTATTATAAAAATGTTCCATGGTGTAAAACATGTACGTTATCCAGCACTGCAGCATATTTGGTTTTTTGCACACATTCATCTAGCACTGCATTCATAATTTGGATGTCTCACATTATTTGAATTGTATTGCATACTTTGCATAGCAATAGAACATCAAATACAATTTGAATTTTATGATCCTGAAGATCCACTTGTTTATAGGGAGTCCTCTCGGAAGATACCGACAACAATTCTTATTTTCAGACTAAAGCCAACAAACCTGCTATAAAGACTAAACTGTTTACTGTTAAGTTAGTAACTACATTTCAGTTCAGCTCTCATCTACCTTATCCTGACCATGGTAAAGTACTTGCCAATAATTGTCCTAATAGTACTGAGCATACCTTACCTGTAAAAACTGATATTACCTGTATACTGATATAGCTAGTTAGCTTGATGACGGAGGTTCAGTAATCGATTAGCAGTCTTGAAGGTTCAATAGATCCTTAACCATCTAAAATATTAGTTTAAAAAATGAGAGTGTAGAAAAGAAAACGTCTTATTTAAGTGGATCAAATTGCAAATCAAAAGTTTTTTAAATCCATCAAACACTAAGTGAGTCAGATGTAAGTTTTAAATCTTGTACATTTTTTTCATTTTGAATTTCGATAAAATTTTAGACATTGAACATTTAAATAAGCAGTGTTTGGTGCAGATAAGTTTCAGTGATGACACACAAACTTTGAATTTTACTTGAGGATATAATGTAGCTAAAATACTGCTTAGATTCAAAATGCCACATTCACTGCAATTAATACAGCTGAAATGCTTTTGAAGGTTAAAATACAAATATTAATATAAAGTAATTATTGCAGTACATTCAAAATTCAAAAGTTGTGTATGACTGCTGAAACCTCACTACACCATACACAGTTGTTTGTAGTGTTGGGTGTAATACAGCTTAAATATTATTAAAATTCAAAAATATAAAAAAATTAATAAAAAGTAGTCACAGCAACATATCCAAAATCCAAAAGCTGTGCATCATTGCTGACACCTTGGTGCACCATACACAGCTGTTTTTAATGTTGTAAATAATGCAGCTGAAATATTATTGAAGTTCAAAATACATACAAATTAATAAAACGTAGTTACAGCAATATATCAAAAATCCAAAGGCTGTGCATCATTGCTGACACCTCACTGCACCATACACAGCTGTTTTTAATGTTGTATATAATTTAGCTGAAATAGCTTTATACTTTATATTAATGTTTATGTATTTTGAATTTCAAAAGAATTTCAACCACATTACATACATCACTAAGACCATTGTATATGGTTCAGCAAGATGTCAGCAATCATACACAAGTTTTGGATTTTGGATGTAATGCAACATCTCATTTAAATAATTTTTTATATATAACTATATATAACTGCTTTATATAAATTTTTATTTATTTTGAACTTCAATAATTCAGCCACATTACATACAACACCAAAAATAATTGTGTATGGTGCAGCCAGGTATCACCAATCATACACACATTTTGGATTTTGGATATAATGCAATATCTCATTTAAATAATTTTTTATATATTTTGAATTTCAATTATATTCCAGTAACATTACATACAGCACTACAAAGAATTGTGTACAGTGCAGTGAAGTGTCAGAAGTCATACACACATTGTGGATATTATGCAATAAATACGTTATTTTTTTTTTTATTTAAATTGAACTTCAATAGTATTTTGCCCATCTTATATACAACACTAAAAACTACTGTGTATGGTGCAGTGCAGTGTCAGCAATGATGCACAGGCTTTGGATTTTGGATATAATGCAATAACTACTTTATATTAATTATTATTTATTTTGAACTTCAATAATATTTTGGCCATCTTACATACAACATTAAAAATAACTGTGTATGGTGCAGTGCAGTGTCAGCCATGATTCACAGCTTTTGGATTTTTGATATATTGCTGTAACTACGTTTTATTAATTTCTGTGTATTTTGAACTTCAATAATATTCCAGCTGCATTATTTACAACATTAAAAACAGTTGACTATAGTGCAGTGAGGTTTCAGCAATGATGCAAACCCTTTGGATTTTGGATATATTACTGTAATTACTTTTTATAATTTTTTCAGTATTTTGAATTTCAATAATATTTCAGCTAAATTATATACAACATTAAAAACAGCTGTGAATGGTGCAGCAAGGTGTCAGCAATGATGCACAGCCTTTAAATTTTGGATATATTAATTTAACTTTTATCAGTTTTGAATTTCATTAGCATTTCAGCTGTATTACACCCAACACTACAAACAATTGTGTATGGTGCAGGTAAGTTACAGGAATCATGCACAACTTTTGGATTTTTATTGTACTGCAATAATTACTTTATATTAATATTTGTATTTTAACCTTCAAAAGCATTTCAGCTGTATTAATTGCAGTGAATGTGGCATTTTGAATCTAGGCAGTATTTTAGCTACATTATATCCTCAAGTAAAATTCAAAGTTTGTGTGTCATCACTGAAACTTATCTGCACCAAACACTGCTTATTTAAATGTTCAATGTCTAAAATTTTATCGAAATTCAAAATGAAAAAAATGTACAAGATTTAAAACTTACATCTGACTCACTTAGTGTTTGATGGATTTAAAAATCAAAACTTTTGATTTGCAATTTGATCCACTTAAATAAGACGTTTTCTTTTCTACACTCTCATTTTTTAAACTAATATTTTAGATGGTTAAGGATCTATTAAACCTTCAAGACTGCTAATGTCTGTCGATTACTGAACCTCCGGCATCAAGCTAACTAGCTATATCAGTATACAGGTAGTATCAGTTTTTACAGGTAAGGTATGCTCAGTACTGTTAGGACAAGTATTGGCAAGTACATTTTAGTTACAGGTTAATTCAAAGTCCTTTTTCTAAATTAAAGTGGTGTGTATTTCTAACCATAATTTACAGTAAATAACACAGTTAATCAGATGTGCATGGACACAGTGTTTATGGCGCTATTGACGTTTTATTGTTTGGCGGTGTCTATTGTTAGCTTGAACAATTAAAATATGTATTTAAATACACTGAAACGCTTTGGAGGAAAACAGAGGCGTGTGCATGGATGTGGGCGTGGTCTAGAAGTGCATGATTTCCCTTCTGACTGAAAAACGTGTCTCAGTTCTATGGTATTAACACAAAATAGCGGTACGTTAAATGTCACCCAAACTTTAAAAGAACAGGTGTGCATCACTCTCTGTGGTCGTACTGTCATGAATATGTAAGTCTTTACTGACTACCGTAGTCCGATCAAATGTTATTAGCGCCGAAAAGACGAATATCGAAAATAAAACTAACTTTACCGTGGTCTGATCCTGCTATTCTTTCTTTCATGCCTCCATCATCCTCACAACCCCACTGATCTCACTACTGCTTCAATGTTCAAGCTAAATCCAACACACTTTATATACAGATCTATCACTGATATTACTGTATGTCACACTGGTAGATCATCATATGCACCTACTTTTACTTCTGCTCTACTGCATAAAGCATATTACTATTTACAACTACGATAATTACAGTTAAAATATGAACAAAGTCGTGCGTGCACTGTAAGTTCAGAGCTCCTCATTTTCCTGGAATAGTTTGAGGAAAACAGACTTACAGTAAAGCAGGTGAAGCAGAGCTGGATGAATCCTGTATTCTGAGAACATTTTAACCAGCCATTCTAATCAACCAGCTTCATCAACTAACTCTTCAACTCCATCGTCAGTTTTCTACTCAGCTTTATAGCAAAACAAAAGAAACACACAGAGCTGATGTGCTCGCGCTGGGCTGGGCTGGGCTGGGCTAGACTGGGCTAGACTGGGCATGCCCATCATGCATTGCGTAAAAAGGGGCTGTGTCACCGTTTTAAAATCAACTAGAACTACGACGATGTTAGTGAAGATGACTATTTTAACTGATAAACAGCCAGTATTACATAGAGGTTACCTTTTAGCTGCCTGTTTTTATACTAAAAGCACTGGCGGTACAGCTAAATTACAGTGAAAGGTTATGGATTAACTTCTGTGATTAAATGTAGCTTTTTTATATTATAAGTTTATATTTTTATATTTGATATGCGAAACTGTTTCTTTGCAGTAAGTTGTGTTTTTGCTAGTAAAAAACGCTAAATATCATTCGAATAAATACAAATAAAGTTCTATAACGTAGGAGTTGAAGAGGCATGATACAAGTGCGAGATGCTTTTATTTAAATCAGACCTAACAGAGTCCAGAAACCCAGCAGAAAAGGTAAGCAGAACAGATAAATTCATAGTGAGACAAAACAAAGGAAAACAGAACTAAATCAGAAACAAAACCCCCCCAAAAAATAATAATAAATAAATATATAAAAAAGCAGGCACCGGCAACAGGGTATATAGACAATGCAAGACAAAGGGACTGAGCAAACACAGGCATACAAAAACACTGAGGGGAAACAAGAAACACCTGAAACTAATAAGAGGATGGGGCTACAGACTAATGGCAGGTGGAGCAGGTGACAAGGGAGCAAGACGAGGGAGGAGACAGACCAAAACAACAACAAAGGCACGTGGCACAAGAAAACAAAGGCAAGCTGAAAGAAATGAATCCAAGGATTCAACACCATATTCAAAAAAGTTGGGACGCTGTGCACAATGTAAATGAAAATAGAATGCAATGATATTTAAATCAGGTAAACCATATTTTAAAGGAAAATACTACAAAGACAACATATCAAATACTGAGAAATGTTATTGTTTTTTTGAAAAATATTTGCCCATTTTGAATTTGATGCCAACAACATGTTCCAAAAGAGTTGGGATGGGGGCATGTTTACCACTTTGTTTCATCACCTCTTCTTTTAACAACACTGTAAGCATTTGGGAACTGTGGAGACCGATTGCTGTAGTTTTGAAAGTGAAATGTTTTCCCATCTTGTTTGATACAGGATTTCAGCGGCTCAACAGTTTCGGGGGCTCCTTTGTCATATTTTTTATTTAATAAAGCACCAAATATTTTCAGCGGGTGACAGGTCTGGGCTGCAGGCAGGCCAGTTTAGCACCTGGACGCTTTTACTACAGAGCTGTGCTGTTGTAATACATGCAGAATGTGGTTTGTCATTGTCTTGCTGAAATAATCAAGGCCTTCCCTGAAAAAGACGTCGTCTGGATGGCAGCATATGTTGCCAAAAGGTGTATAAATCGTTCAGCATTAATAGATGCAGCGACGAACTGTTTTCACAGACAGTGGTTTTCAGAAGTGTTTCTGAGCCCATGCAGTGATTTCCACTAGAGAATCATGTCTGTTTTTAATGCCTGAGGGCCCAAAGATCACGGCCAGCAAATACTGGTTTTTGGCCTTGTCACTGGCATACAAAGATTTTTCCAGATTCTCTGAATCTTTTAATGATATTATGTACCGTAGATGATGAAAAGCAAAAGTTATTTGCTATTTCATGTTGATAAATATTATTCTTGAATTGTTGCACTATCTGCCTATGCAGTCTTTCACAGAGTGGTGGCCCCCTCCTCATCTTTACTTCTGAAAGACTCAGCCTCTCTGAGATGGTCTTTTTATATGTTGCTGATCTGTTGCCAATTAACCACCAGGTGTTTTTTTAGCATTACACACCTTTACCAGTCTTTTATTGCCTCCGTCACAACTTTTTTGGACTGTATTGTTGGCATCAAATTCAAAATGGGGAAATATTTATCAAAAAACAATAAAATTTAACAATAAAATAAAATACAAGTTATTAATTTTTTACATTTTTAAATATATTTTTCAGGACATAATTTTGAGAAAATTAGATACAAAATAATCCACTTGGAGAAAGAAGGGACCACACACACCTGCAGCTCTTCATTTGAGCATTCAAATCTACTCTCATTTTTAGTGACTTATGATTGTGCAATTATGTGATTAGGGAGACGCCTACAACAGAACTAGAAAAGTATACGTATATATATATAAAACCTAAGAATATACTATTTCACTAGAGCAGATCTGGTAAATTTCACTGAAGAGTTTTTATTCTTAGTGTGTTGGAGGGTTTAATACATCCTTCCTATATTTACCATCATCCACAGATCAATACATTATCACATGCTTCTGTGGTCTAATGAGCTGCTGCTCTGAGAACCATAATGGAAAATGAACATTGTATCATTTGTTTATTCATCCATCATCAGGTATTCAGTATCTGTTGTTTTTTTCACAGTTTCAAGCTCAGCAGTCTGCTGTATGAGATGAACAGGTGAGTGAGCTATAAAAACAACAGTGAAAATGAAATTAAAAAATGAAACTACACACAGTCAGGGTGATTTCAACCTCCTGTTCTTTGTTTTATTTGCAGGTCAGTCATCAGTTGCACTTCATCCTCCTGCAAAACTCCAGCTTAATTCCTGCTTCTCCAGCTGTTTTATTGTGTAGTTGCTTTTTTTAACTGTTGTCAGACATTTTACTTCTCTGTTTTGTGGTCTGGCTTTTGTCATCAGTTTCAGGGCAACACCACAAAACTAAACAGAGACCACCAGAATAGACGTTCTCAGCTTCTCAGACTAAAAGTGTCATGTTCTCAGATGGTGGGAGGACTTAATGGGTAATGGAGGTCCTAAACAACACCCCCTGACATTCACTAAACCACCCCCACATACTACAACTGTCCATTGCATGTATATTGTAAAAGGGTCAAAATGATAATAATTGTAAATTTTTAAATAAAGGCGTTTCATATTTTTTCTTTGCGTCTCAGTAAACACAACACTGCATTGTTATTTTCACATTCAGTTTTTCATGAAAAAGAGAAAAAACATTCTCCATCAACAGTCCTATAGCTGTACACACTGTTACTCACCTCCACATCATTCACTTCACAGTGAGATGAAGAACAAAGAGGACGTCTAAACAAGAACGTACAAAAACAGCTTTGCTCAAACATGATATTTAGGGGCCAGTCACTGACCCTACACTGTTTACTGATATAACATTAGAACTATTTAATAAATATGTAAAGTTATTCAGTCTGTTCATTTCTGTTTCTGGCTCAGTGCCTCTTACTGCACTGTGTTCAACACAACTCAAACAGAGTCAATGTTTACATTGTTCTGATTTTGAAACTACTCATTTGATCAGTTACAGTCTACTGCAGTAGTGTTTAAGAAGATGGGGCATTTTATAGAGTCCTTATATGAAAGTCTGTTTACTCTTGGGAACACCCCCGAGCAGTTATTTCCAGTCAAACAAGATCAGATTATCTCTTTGAATGGGGAGCTACAAACCTGAAACTGAAACACACATTATGGTTTCAGAAATATATTTGAAATCATTTGCAAAATCTACTTTTTGGATTGAAATTATTATGTATATACGTTATTTTAGCCAAACTAATTATGTGATTTTGTTCTGATTTGCCAGTAATTTTTTTGGGGGGGGTTCTTCTGGCTACATCTCCACAGTGAAGGGGGCTTTTTCCTTTTCACGGCTTTACCAGCAAGCTGATTTCATTGAAGGGTGGGACTTTCCCATAACAGATGCCATGTTAAGTGTTTTAAGCTTTCCCATTCATTTTCCAGCCAGTGAACTGTTTCCTCTTATAAAGTCTTTGGCTTTTTGTTCTCTGGAGGAAACATGTTCATTCTGAACTGTAGTCGTGTCATTTAAACCAGCTCAACAAAGAAAACTGACTTTAGGTCTGAAAGAGTAAAGCCAGAATCAGTGAAACAGACCCTGAACAGGTTCAGTTTACTTCATAGTTATTGTACCATGCTGTCAGTTTGGAATATTCCTGCCCTTCCTGCCCTTATTTTCTTAGATAAGGTGTGTCTCTCTGTGTGAACTGAACCCTGAGACCTTCTTTAGAATGTCTCTGTTATCTGTTCATCTTTGCAGTAGACTGTAATGCTTGTGACATCCAGACTTCACGCACAGAGCACAGACTTTACTGCTGCTTTAATTTGAAAGAACAAGTCAGAATAAGACAAAATACAGTTTAATGCTGTCTTGAAATCTCCTTATTTGGGTTGTTTGTGACAGCAGACTGCAATGACTTCATCATTTCAGCTCCACAGGGAATTATAATAAAATCTTTTGCTATTTCCAAACTCTTCCAGCTTCCTTGAAGATATTCCCTAAGAATATTCCTTATTTTAAATCTCTTCTACAGTATGATAGTGGTGAAAATTAAATAAAATAATATTACACATGGAATTATGCAGTTACCAAAAATGTTAAACAAGTCAAAATAACTTCTATTTTAGGTTCTTCCCCACCCCCAGTAAACGCTTTGTATGCAGTATTTAGCACATCCTGTATGAGCGGGTCTTTCTCTCGCGTGGCTGTGGTTGGGTAAATGCTAACGCTAGCCACAAACATTTACATTAGCCTGACCATCATGTTTCGCTCTCACTGCAGTCAGTCAATATGTGTGAACACTCAAGTTCTCAATAAAAGATTACAGACAATAATTTCACATATGTGAAAACCAATGTTCTCTCTCTCTCACGCAAACACACACACATGCACACATACAAACGCACACACATACACGTGCAGTCGCATGTAAAAGTTTGGGCACCCTTGTCAAATGATGTTTTGTTGATTTTCTAATTGAAAAGTAGTTAACACACCGCCACAGAGAACACAATTATGATTTTTTTTTTTTCTACAAATGGTCTGTACAATTTCTAAGTTGGGTTAAGAGACCCTTATTAGTCCCACAATGGGGAAATTTTACCTCCACATTTTAACCCATCCGTGCAGTGAAACCCCATACACACTAGTGAATGCACACTGGGGGAATAGGGTGTTTTGCTCAAGGGCACTTCAGTCACATACTGTCAGCTCAAGGAACCGAACTGGCGACATTTTGGTCACAAGACATGTTCCCTAACCTCCAGCCCATGACTGCCTGCAACTGCCTATTCATTTTGGGAAAAGTTTTGGTGTCCAGTTTTGCTGTTTAATTCTCTCTCAAAGATGAAAGTTTAAGTGCTGTTTATCTGATACTGACAGTTTTGGTAGTCTACCAAAGTCTATTGGTGTTTTGGGTCCCATTTTTTCAGCTTGTTCAATTTTTTTTAAACTCAAGTTTTTGAAACTTCTGTTTTTTTCATTTATGTTCATTTGGTCTTTTTCCCTCCTTTAACCAACTACATGATTTCCACCCCCCAACCATTATTATGATACCACTTCCTGTTTGACGGTGAAACAGCATGTCTTTCAGTTCTGATCATCACATTGAACTTTCATCACATGAGTGAGTGATCAGTGAAGAGCTCTGAACGTGCATTAATTACAGCTTTTAGTTTTTAATGTTATCAGATCAATTAACTTTATGAAATTTCACAGTGATGATCTTTATCCTCCGATAACAGTCATGTTAAATTAAGAAGCTGGGTTTAAAAGGGTTACAGCTCTAATATTCTAGAAAATTTATGAACATAATGGATGATTATCCCTTTAAAAATGCTGAAATAGAAGAGAGAAAAGGAGAAAAGAGAAAGCTGAAGGTGTTTCTCCACCAGATGTCCCTCATCAAGTAACTGCCTTCTGTTAGTGAATGAAATATAAGCTGTGTGTTATTTTTTATGAACATGAAGCAGAACTGCAAAAGCTGTTAATCTGCACAAAGCTGTTAATCTGATGCTTGTGATGTTATGGTAAGACCATATGTCAGCAACAGCAAACCATCCTGCAGAAAGACTGTTATGAATCCTTAGCACAGTCATTGAATCACTGAGGAGACGTACTGAATGGGAAAAGAATGCTTTATACAGACACTGCCCACTGATATACTGCAGCTTTACACCTGTTACAGTTTAAAATGTCTTGGTCTGTTTGATTTAGTAATTAGCCTCCAACTGTCCACTCATACACTCACTCTGAACTGGTTAAAATGTATTTTGGAGGACTGCATGCATTTCTGTCTCAGTTTCATTAACAGACTTTATCATGGATGTAACAACACGTGGCATTAAAAAAACTGAAAACTGTCTTTATGGGTTAGAAAAGGAAAATGATGGTTACAAATATAATGTGAAAACAGCTTTATAAATACATATTCACTTCAGTGACGTGAAGTACTCGGGACACTAATAGTTTAGTGAAAGTGTAAAGAAGTAGAGAATCTGTCTATAAAGAACATTTACACACAAACAGAAACAGACACACTCTCATTCAACTGTACTACTGAACAAAGCACACCACTGTACAGATCAATGTCCTGCCCCAGATACAGAAACCCACAGACTCCATTATGAGTTTCAGAGCTGCATTAAGATTCTACACTGACTGTGCATGCAGAGGCACTGAGGGTCTAAAAGTCAAACTCATAAATCTTACAGTGATTGAAGCTGCTCTCTAATGTCTTTTTAAATGGCTTTTTTGGACAGAAGTGAAGTTATTTTGCTCATTTTGCACAGATCTTGTTCCTGATTGGTTTGAAGGTGGTCATCTTGTATTCAATTTCAGTAGTTGTTGTAATTTCTCAATCCTTGCATACTGCACAGAGAAGAAGCATTGAAATTATAAGCAAACATGTTAAAAAATAGCCATAAGAGTGTTTGGGTTTACTAAAAATATATGTATATTAACATACTTGTAAAATTTCATCATGCTGGTTTAGTTTATTTCCAGTGTGGAATGTCTTGGCAACTTCTAACAAACCACTAATGTATATACATGTGTATATATGTATATATACGGATATACATGTGTGTGTGTGTATATATATATATATATATATATATATATATATATATATATGCAGATCACATATTGTATATACTATATACTTTGAACATCTCTGCTTGAAGGAACATTGTGATGCACGCAAGAGCCATTACAAAAACATCCTCAAGCTTTAAAATATCATAAAAGGATGAACCTGAATTGAGTGTGTGTGTTTCCTTTCACATTTTCTCCTAATTTATTCACGTTACCCACGAGTCCCCACCACTTCCCTTTCACCTGTGTCATGTGAAGTCATTGAATGTTTGAATGCACTTAACAATAATATGAGCTCGTACAGTACTGTGAAAATGACAGAGAGCACCATCCATTCATTTATTTAATGTCAAATTTGCTGTTGTTGATTTTCAGCATAAAATAAAAAAAACAAAAAATATTTAACAGAAAATTACACAGAAGTCTTAAAAACTACATACACTATCAATAATTTAAATGTTTAGTGCATATGCGTCAGACTCCAGTCCTTGGAGGCCAAAACACTGCAGACTTCAGCACATTGCCTCATTAAACACACCTGATTCAGCTCATCAGCTAATTAATAAGGCCTTCGTGAACTGAATTCAGAGTGTTAGATAAGGGTAAACGCTAATCTCTGGAGCACTTTGGCCTGGAAGATCCTCAGTTTGACATGCCTGGTTTAGTGTGTCCACGCTTTGCTTTTATTACAGCTTCTATTCTTTTCAGGAGATTGAATTTCAGGGATAGTTTTCCATGCCTCCAAAGTTGGGTCTTAAGCTGGTTGCTTCTCTTTTCTGCTACTCACAATTCAAATAATAAAAACATTCAGTGATGTTGAGGTCTGGACTCTGGGTGTGGTCAGTCAATTGTTCTGAGAACAACAGCAGCTTTTTTGTTGGATCTACAAATTGTTCTGTTCCTTTTTTCTAGGGTTCTCCTTTTTACACTTATTTTCCTTCCTTCCTGTTTTCCTTCCTCATCCAAGTGGATTATTTTATGTCTAATCTCTTCAGAAACAACTCCTGAAAAATGACTAACTCTTCTTTTTGGCTGGAAATTAAATAAATGTAGGGCTGCCTTTTACTCAGTATTGCACCTGTACAGAATTACTGATACAAAATAGCACCAGAACTTTCTCTGTGAATAATAAGCCTCAACTCGACCTCAGTTGTAATGGCTCATTCAACACTGGTTTGTTATGAAAGAGAAGAAGTGTCTGGGGAGAGATTATCTTCTGCCCAGAATGTGTTTATCCCTCATGATCCACCATGTTTATTATAGACCTGGTGGCCTGGCACACCCAAGGAGCTCTTCACACGAACATGTACCTTATGAACTATGTGTACATACATACATACACAAACACGCACATACATTCACATACATTTCCTAGATATCTCTATATATACAGAATGATGTCATACCTGGTTATTTCCTGTCACCTATTGCTGTCCTAGCACACATCGCTCTGTATGTTGCTGTTGGTTGTTGTCATTGACCTTGTTGAGCATGTGGAAACTGCTGTAGTCAAGGCTGGATTAACTTGATCACCTGTATTGTAATGATATCATACACATCACATATAGTAGGTAAATAGAGCAGTGATGAAGATAAATATGTAACAAATACACACACAACTCTCCTACAGCATATTACAGCCTAATGAAAAACAAAATGAGTCTGTGACCCCAGTCACACAATAAGCTGGACTATATGACCTCATTAACCAAACAGTAGGTCAATATGAGTGTTAATCATGACATTTATACACAATGGAAAGTTCAGCTTCTCTGTTCAAATTATGTAGATAAATAAAACTCAAAGAAATGAGTACAAAGCACAGTTATATTGAGTACAACAGAAAAAAAAAAGTTATCAACGCTCTAATAACACTGTGGATTACAATTTACAACTGAATTACTGCAAGTTTTAAATTACTGTAAAAGGTCCATCATTCTATTACATACATTAAAGTGGGCCCTGAATGTCAGCTGTAAAATATCTGCACAAAATGGGAACAGTGTCATCTGCTGATGCACTTTCAGTTACCAGAGAAGTTCAAGTGGTGATACATGTAAGCCTGCTAAACGTTTTGGATAATTTAATAGCTGCATTATTCTATTATTCCTCAATCTAATAAAACCCTACAGTGCAACTGACAAACTTTATGTTGTTGTTACTGACTGTTTGGCTCATTTTAGCACTTCTGAAGAAGAAAAAATAAAAAAATAAAAGCTTGTGATTCAAATAAAAAATGAACATTCCTGCAGCTGTTTTATGGACACACTCAAACACTGAAACAGTAAAATCATATGTCATATAATGAATATATTAATACAGTACCTTATTTCTGGTGTATTTGGAGTCCTATGATGGCCATCTTGGCTTTTTAGAAAGATCTGGCATAAATCTCCTCAGGCCATTAGACCGGTCTATAGGAAAATCTTACTTCTTGTTACTCTGTGGACTATGCGGCACAGCAGGGGTGTCCAGTTTTAGTTACAAAGGGCCAGTGTGGCTGCAGGTTTCAAACAAAGCAAAAGCACACAAGAACAACTGTTTGAAGACTGAGACTAGCTGATCGAACAAGCAGAATCAGGTGAGCTCCTGCTTATCTGGAGTAAAGACCTGCAGCTTCACTGGCACTATAAGGCACAGCTAAGACTGGACACCCCTGTACTATTCTGCAGTGTCTCTGTGGACAAGCTCTGCCAAGAACATTTGCATAATTTCCTTAGTTGAGATCCCCAACGACATCCTAACTGATGAAAGCACATTTGTCACACACCCATCATAAACTTTATAAGCTTTTAGTAATAAAATCAAGTCAGATGAGTGTTTACTGCCCACAGACTGACAGATTGATGAAATGCTTCAATAAAACCCTTCAAATCATGGTTTATAAGTTTACATACAAACAGGGCAGAGATCAAGATAAATGGTTGTATCCCTGATTTGCTCTCTGGAGGTGCCCAAGGCCTCCACAAGGTTTTCCCCATTCGAGTTACTATATAGGTGGTAGCCCAGGGAGTGCTGGATGTTTTACGAGGAAATCTGGGAGGCCAACTCTATGCAAAAGATTCAATACAACCTGGACCTGAGAGCACATTTCCCCCAGCTTGACCATTTATCTTGTGAGAATTTGTTCAGGCACAGGAACAGTAACTGTGGCTCTGCATCAGATGCTCTCAACACAAATGCCTTTTACTGGAACACAAAGTCCTTGCACTACAACAAATGGTGCTACTCCTTCACTTTTTTGTTTAATAAGTTCTGTTTTGGTCAATAAGTATGAAAATGCTTAGAAATGTAATATATATTATGCAAATGTGCCCAAAGGTAAAAGTCATTGGTAAAACAAAAATACGAGAGAAGACAAAGCTTAACATCACAAACCATATATATTTTTTTCTCATTTCTTAGAGGTACTACTACTGTTTTACCTCTCACAATATCTGCATCAGTAAAAGTAGGATAATCAGATCATTAAACAAAGTCAGAAAGAGGTCATACATTTACTATCATTTACAAGCTCACAAAAGTCAACACTGGTTATCTTTTCCCACTACAATCAGTAGAAATGAAATGTTTAATAATATTTAAAGCTTAATAGACACAGCACAAGTACAGAAAAGGAGTAAATGTTCAAGTTCTAAACAGCAGGTCACTGTTACAGGATACTGAACAAAGCAGTCAACAAAAATCGTTACAAAATGTGAAAACAGATAAACTGATGGTAAAATACAGAGTTACATCCTTATAGTTGAGTATACCACCAATGTGTGCTGGTCTTCTGTCACTCCAGCACTGCCGTTCTGTAAAACACAGCAGTATATTTTGATGAAAACTTCATGGGTTAATACTAATAGTACTAATAAGACATAAAATGTGGCTTCTAGGTGAAAAGCTTGACTATTTAAATACAATACTTTTATGGAAACAATCGAGTTACTTCAATACTGCAGTAGTCCAACTTATTCCAATGTACTGTAGTAAAGTGTATCTGCATTCTGTCATTTAAATGTGGTGAGAAGAGATCTAAAGTGGTTTATGTTCCAGTGTTCGTTAAACCACCCAGACTGGTTGCCACATCATGCGTTTGTGGTCGTTTTACTAAAACAAAATGTTTGGCTTGCATTTGAAACAAACACCCTCCACCAAATGTGCAGACATATAATACTGTTTAATCAACATAAAATAAATCTCATTATGCACATTCATCCTTAAAGTGCTACAAAACAGTGTAACTAAGGCTGACTTCCACATATTTTATTGTATTAGTGCATTTTGGTATTGGTGCAACATAATGCAGTTTAGAAAAAAACAAGAACAAAGTGGGCTAATATTGGGACAAACATGATAATGATTTTACAGCTTTTGTCAGTGATGTCAGTCAGAATAAATAAATATGGTGTAATAATTTCAATATGAACAACCTATTTACAACATTTCTTTAACTCAAATTCCACTCCAACTGAAGATACCATATGTTCAGCTTTCAGTAAAAGAACATGAACATTTCCATTCACATAAAGTGTGTATATTCACAGCATAGTGACTTCAAAATGGTTTACCTACTAAATCTGTAATGCGTATAAACTTACCTTATGAGCTTCCTCTGAATACTGAGATGTACTTTTTACTTCAGCATAATTCAGCTTAGCGTACTGATAAACTAGAAGAAAGAATTATATCACATACAAAATCACAAATAATAAAACGCAACTAAAGAAAAACTAGTAGAAAAACTAGAATATATGTATATTTCTTACCTTGTTGCTTTGACATCTTTGTCCAATAAAGCAAAAATAATACTGATAGAGCAACAATCAGTCCAGCAGGTATCAGAACAGCAGCCAGTGATTCGGGATCTTTCTCAGCTTTCAGATCTGAGACTGTAATTATCAGGTGGATCTGCATCAGTAGAGCATCACAGGAAGTTTGTGTAACCAACTCTGACAAGAATATTCACCTTTGAAGTAGCAACAAACAATATACAAAATAAAATCAGTGATTTTAACCTACCTGATTTATAGCAGTTCTGTAACATCGAGCTGGGTTGTCTGATTGCTAACTGGATTAGCAGCTACACAGGTGTAAGTAGAGTAGTTTGGGTTGGTTACATTCAGAGGAAGATAAAGACGTTCACTGGAATCTGAGCTACTGATGCTGGAGATTCTCTCTTTCTCTTCATACCAGGACAAACTCACATCCTTCCCATTCTCCACAGAGCACAGAGAAGAACACGACTCTCTGAGACTCACTGAGCGCTTTTCAGCTTGATTTCTTATGACTGGCTTTAATGCTGGAGCTGTGAAATACAAAATAAAACAACAGATAAGAAACATTAAAAAAAAACACCACAACAAAACCAATATGCAAAATACTATAAATTAATAAGAGTTTATCAAATCACTGCTAGTATAAACTGAAATATGTTTGTTTGGCCTGTTTGGCTCCTATAGAGTTGATTCAGTGTCTAATCTTATGCTGCAGTTATTCTTTGCCAAACTCAGACAGGTTTCAGCATGTCTGATATCTACTGTGTATCATAAACAGCACATCTGGGCTGTGTGTTAAATCTCTATTCATTATACACTGACTTATATCTGCATCTGATCAACTCCTGTTCATGATGGTTGTGTATGAGATCACATCTTTCAGTCTAATGTACTCTGCACTGTTTTAGGTTATGCATAAACAGCATGTTTTAGGTATAAAGTGTTGGCAGATCTTGCACTTCATTTCATCATAGTTGCAAACAAAGCACACATAATTACCCACTCAGTGTCTACATCTGAAATTTTACATTTTTGGTCTAATATTTTACATCTTTGGTCTATATGTTCTCTGAATTTGCCTGAATTTCAAATCGAACCACATCAGTAAAAAAAAGATTACTTTATTTATCACAATAAATATAGTCTTTTAGTCACATGGCACAACTGATTAAGAAGAATTAATTTAAAAAATGCAAATCTCACTATTTTTATTTTGGGTCCACAGTAGATGCTTTGTAGATGATCACTTGGTCTATAAAGCTATGCAAACTATAAAAATATGGCTTACATGTTAAATACTGCTAAAATATGTTATATAAACCAAACAAAATACTTTACTTATAATTACAGTATTCCTCTACTAATAAGTTGCCAGAACTGTTGCAGCATCACATGGTTAATCTCTCTCATCCTCCGAGTGAGGAAAAGTGCACTAAATTAATGTAATTTAACTCAAATATATCAGCCTGTCCAAATTTAGCTACTGTGTGGCATCACCCCAAAGAAACTTTTATATTTTTTTTTCCCATTTTCCAGCACAACCGTATGACATCAATACAGTGTGACTATGCTGGTCTACTAGTAGAGATATTTGGCATATTATTTAAATTTTTGATAATAAACAAAACATTTCCATTTTTAGATCATATTTTATTAGTGTTTTACATGTTCACTATTCTAAGTCTTAAGGGTCAGGGTTCCTTTTAACTAACATTCTACTAAATATCTATTAAATACAACCAAACATTAAGTTGAATGTAACAGAATCAAGTAAATTTAAGCCTAAACCTAAATCTAATCCTAACCTTAACTTTAATCCAAAGCCTAAACATCATTCTAAACCTAATATTAACCCACACCGTTGATAATCGATTCACTTTCACCAGACAGTTTGCTAACAATTTGAGTGTGTATAGATTATATATAAAGGAAAAACAAAATAAAATAAAATAAAGACAAAAAATCTAAATATTGGAGAAAAACACACAACCAAAAATGTGGACCGTATGTACTTGGAAGTGGCAGGAAGGGAACTTCATGGCAAACATTAAAATACAACAAATTTTTGAAAATTCCTGTTCTAGTGCTGCAGCTACTAAAACTGATGTAGTTCGTGCTGTTGGTCTTCAGTCTGAACTCAGTTCATCTTATTCATGTTCTACCTCAATCTACAGGAATTATAAAGGTGAAAATATAATATTTACTCACCATAGACTTTAACATTGAAACTCCAGACTGAAGTTCTCTCGGTAATGATCTGTAGTTTATAAAGTCCAGGATCTTCTCTGCTGATGTTTCTGATGGTTAAAGATCCACTGTTTCTGTTCAGCTGCAGTCTGTCTCTGAATCTCTCACTGTCATAGTCTGTAATAATCTCTCCTCTAATGATCTGACTGTTCACTATCTTTATATCTACATTCTCAGGACCATAAAACCACAGTATGTGAGCATCACTCTGAACTCCAGTTAATCCAGTATGGATGGTTACAGTGTTTCCCTCCAGCTCCTGCAGTCTGAGAACCTCTTCTCCAGCTGAGCACAGCAGACCTGAAACAATGTATAATATTACATCTTAAACACTCACACACAGAAGATAATCAATATCAGTTCATTTCTGAAGCCACTATCTCAGATAGTTCAAAAGTGACTGAACTTGGAATGCATCAGCTCTTTTCTGCTACATTATGATTGAATTAATCAACATTTAGGTACAGCAAGATACTCATTCTATGTCTACTATGAAGGAAGAACACTGGTTTGATTTTCTTATAAAAAAGTGCCCACAATGAAGCCTCTAATGCAAAAAATCATCTATTATAAAGTGCCCACAGCGGAAAAAAATTGTTATCCATGTTCAGTGTTGTCTTTCATTCTCTACGTGTACTTCTTGTTTTGCAAAACCCTTGTGCCGTCGCATTAACTGAATTATACTGTATACTCTTGATAGCATAAGTGCATGAAATACAGTCTGAATTTTATGATCCAGAAGTTCCTCTTGTGGTTTTTGAGAATTCCTCTCAGAAGATACAAACACTGTAACAGAACTGAAACCAAAGCCAGTAAACCTGCTATAAAGACTCAACTGACTCAGAGTCAGCAACTGCAATCTGCAATCAACTGCAAAAAAGTTTTAGAACTCATCTACCTGATCCTGCTGTTCTTTCTTTCATCCCTCCATCACCCTGAACAACCCCACTGATCTCACTACTGCTCCAATGTTCAAGCTACATCCAACACACTTTATATACAGATCCATCACTGATATGACTGTATTTCACACTGATAGATCATCATCTAATACAGATACACCTACTTTCAGTTCTGCTCTACTGTATAAAACACATCAACACTCACAGTGACACTGTCTTCTATTTAACACAGAGCAGTAACAGGAAAGACGATCTCTATCAGTGTTCAGTCCGGACTGACCGCACTCTTCGTTTTCCTGGAATAGTTTGAGGAAAACAGACTTACAGTAAAGCAGGTGAAGCAGAGCTGGATGAATCCTGTATTCTGAGAACATCTTAACCAGCCATTCTAATCAACCAGCTTCATCAACTAACTCTTCAACTCCATCGTCAGTTTTCTACTCAGCTTCATAGAAAACAAAAAAACACAGAGCTGATGTGCTCACGCTGGGCTAGGCTAGACTAGGCATGCCCATCATGCATTGTGGGAAAAGCTGTCATGTAGTTTAAAAAAACTGGCTGTTTCACGGTCTTGAACTGGATTATATTATTGTTATATTAACTGGAAATATAACGATCTTAGTTAAGATGACTATTTTAACTGATAAACAGCAATTATTACATATAGATTTACTTTCAGCTGTCTGTTTTTATACTGTACTGACGATTACTGCATTAGGATACAGATAACCCCCTAATCAAAAACATCTATTTTCATATCATGAATTTATAAAGAGAAAACAAATGCACTGTACACTTTATGAACACTATGAAGGCCTTTAGGGGCATCTGGATAATAAAGACAGTTGTGTTAGAGCTGAACTGTCCATGGTTGTAGATCTGCAGGACCTGGATTGGGCACCTCCGGTGTCCTTGATGTAGGTAGATATACAGATGTTTAATTAAGGAAATTAGGTGTATGACAACTGGTTATTGTGGTTAAAAGCTCTTCTAAAAGTTCAAACTTGAATATAAATTCCATAAAAACATAATGCATATAATAACCCACAGTGCAACTACGTCAGTTTATGTACTACAGTTGATCCTGTTTCCAGTAAAACAGTAGTTAGCCCTCAAATGCAATCCTTCTTTTAATCCACCTACAATGGCCTCATGTTCAATTTTAAAACTTGAGTCAACAGAATATTAAATTGAGTAGTTTGACTACAAATGTACTGTTACTTTGCAAAGCTTAATTTCTGTTTATTTTCCATTTAGAAACATCATTTGTACTAGTTAGTTCTCTAGCTGAACAAGCTGGTCTACGTACACAGCTTTAGCTACACTGAGCTTGACGGCTAATTTAAAAAGACAAATTAGGACGATAAGATGAGCTATACAGAGGTTTGTGTCATTTTGCCACAAACAGTACAGAAACTCTAGCTGACCAAACGGGCTTGGCCAGCATGAAACTATCATACATGATCTCCTACTGTCACTTAATAAGCTAATGATTTCTTCCAGGCCTGTTATAATCAACATTTATAAGAAAGATCCGCTGAACAGTCTTTCTCACCTGTGGCTGTATAATGGCTAGCGTTACTCCTGTGCTCCCCTCTGCAGTGGCAGTCTGTTGTGATAAATTGCCCCCTTGTGGTGAAAGCCGGTACAGCACGCTAATTCTTAGCCTTCAGCCCCCCTGTGCATTTTTTCACCTGGTGAGAGAAAAAAATGTATATGCCGCCCCCTGCTGGTCAAAACTAGTGTAGCACCGCTATGCGGTGAACTGGTTTATGTAAAAAATTCCCAGTTTGTCTGGAGGATGGCTGAGCGATCCATTTGAATTTGGCCACAGCTGCCATAGAATATTTCCCATTTCTTCATACTTTTTTGTTTACTTTTTCTTCTTCATTTTGCTCACCTGAGACGGTTGATCACTCTGTAATGTCTCCCGTGTTTCTCAAACGCCCCCAAGGGAGTCCAAAATGAATGGGTTTGAATAGGAGCACTGGAGCAAAATAATAGCTTATAAATGATTGATCATTTTTAATGTAAAGAATACATTAATTTCCTGAACACTGATTAGCATAAAACATTTAAAACGTTGCCTCATGTACATTAATGAAGTCGGTGAGTGCAAACAGCCAATGAATTGCTCCTCTCACCAACCAATCAGAACTCAGTAGCAGTGATGCTAACCAATCAGCACTCAGTAGCAGTAATGCAGCGTTTGGTGTAGAAAAGGTAAATATAGCAGGACATTTTCTTTGCTGCTTTAGTGAAATACATCCTTCTACTTTCTAAAATTTAAGGAAAGTTAACTTGTCATTTTTAGCCATTGAGCTCCATTTACTCCCATTCGCCCATACGCCCTCTGGAAGTTTGCAGTCCTGTTTTTGATATAATGGGGAAGCCATGCTCCTCATAAACCAGTTCTGGTCTCACTTTTTCTTCTTCAAAACCAAAAAAGAGAAATTGTCAAGCTATAAATTATATGTAGAGAATGCTAAAAATTAAATGCTATGAAGAGAAGTGATTGCATATGCCTCATAGCCTGTGCCTAAGAGTGAATAAATGGAAGAGATTGATATGTCATGCACTGCCAAATAGCTGTACCAAAAATCTTCTTTTTGAACAACTTTCTTTTACTCTATATACTTACTTTTATTCTATAGAAAGATCTAACTATCTTACTGAAAGTTGTTAAAAAAAAATAAAAAAGCAAGTTACAGTAAGTTGTTAATTAAGGTAAAAGGTACATCATCTAACTAATTATAGGTGGCCACTGAATGTAAGCTCTAAAATATCTGCACAACATGGGAATAGTGCCATCTGCTGACACACTCTCAATTAGCACTTACACAACTAAAAGTCAGGGCTTCATTCTTTTGGAGAATTGTACACCATGCTTGTATTCTGAATGATCATATTGTGATGACTTGGCAAAGAGAGAAACGCATGGACCACAGTGTTTTTGAGAGAAGGCTCTTTTATTGAACACAAAGCAAATATTGGCATCCTTTCCACAATTCCAATATTGGTGCCTCCATACTTTATACAAAATGAGGTGCTACCGGCCTAGATTGGCTCAGTTGGAAACTACTTTATCAAATAGGAGCTGGTTGGGAGCAACTTTGAACATGGGCTTTAGCCACCTTTGGATGGGAGTATCTGTGTTGGTGAGATGCACCTTTTGTGTATCCAACCACTGTTTAGCCTCAAGCATTTAATAGTAAGTTATAAAACTCATCACTCTAAGACTCCCTTCATACAGCAGGTAAAAGTGGCCCAAATCTGATTTTCTCACCATATCTGATTCTTTTGTTTGGCTGTTCACAATATCTTTTAAATGGACCTGTATGCAACGTTAGTCTGAACAGATCACGCTCCTAAACTGACCCACATATACAAAAGAACAATGCTATATTTCAATCATCAACCACATCAACCCTTTAACTGCAGTTGCACTCAGCACTTTAACTTAAGATTCACACTTTGCACAAGGTAAAGGTTACAGGTATGACTGTGTGTGTATGTGTGTATGAGTGAGTGATGGTAGGAATGCATGGTTTACTTTATTTTATTTTATTTTATTCACATGTAAATGTTTGCCTGATAGTGTGCACTGTGAGCTCCTGTAACCAAAACCAAATTCCTTGTATATATAAGCATACCTGGCCAATAAAGCTTGATTCTGATTCTGATGGCTAAAAACAAAAAAAAAGTAGTTTTTAATTACTTGTCCAGACCTTCCCTTTAATTTTAGAAGAAAGAAGGATATATTTCACTAAAACAGTAAAGTTATCTGTATTTATTTTTTTTTCTACAGCAAACGGGTTTTGGGCATTGTATTAATGCTACTGAATGCTGATTCGTTGACATTACTGCTACTGAGTGCTGATTCATTGGCATTACTGCTACTGAGTGCTGAATGTTTGGTGACTGGAGCAGCTTATTGGCTGTTTGCGCTCATGGACTTTATAAAAGCACATGAGGCACCGTTTAAAACTCCTATAACTCAGGTTCAAAGCATTTTAAAATATAACAATGGTGTTAAAATGTTTTTTGCTGTTGAGTGTTCAGAAAATGAATGTACTTTTTCATATTAAAAATGTTTAAGCATTTATAAACTATAACTTTGCTTAATGGTCCGTCTTAACCTATTCATTTTGGACTCGCTCAGTAGCACCCTCTAGCGTTTAAGAAACCCAGAAGACATTACAGAGTGATAACTCTCCTCTCTACAAGTTCTCTGATTTAGCATTGGGAAAAAGTGGAATGCAGCTCAGCCAATCATATTGGATCCAGTAAATTGTAATCCAACCATATCAGACCAAGGGGAGGAGCTACTCACTTTACAAAGTCAGGAACCGCTGAAGCTGTGACAGGATTGTAACTAAAAGCTTAGTAAAATAAATATAAAGCCTTATTTAAAATATCTAAAATATAGTCTGAATCAGTAAGTAGTTACAGAGTGTTAAAGATGTCTACCCACAATATGGGTTTGTGCAAATTGTGGTCTCTATAGCTGGATATCGAGTTTTAGCTGATTGCTTGTTAGCTAGTTAAATCTAAATTCACATGAGGTAAAGAGAAGAGGATCTGACATAAAGCACAAGCGTTAGCTGAAAAGCCAACTATTTCAAGAATTTTCAGTAACTTTACAGATTGTTTGATTTCATATTACTATTAAGCATTTCAAAACAATCACACCAGTATTAGCTGTAGTTTTTAATATATAATATGGGAAACTGATACTGCTAATACTGTTTTTTTGTTGATTGTGTGACACAGTTTTATATCCCTGAATTCTTCTCTGCAGATGGTCATTAAGAGGTAGCAGCTCCACAGAAGGCCCGTCAGATAAGATGATTTTTGCCAGTTTAAACCAAAAAATGGACTGACTGATCCTTGAACTGTTGTAAATCTGAGCTTAACAATAATGATAATGATATATTTGTTACTAAATTCAGGCAAGCAGAGGGAGAGAAAGGAGCTGAAGGAGCCTGACAGAGCTGAAGAAGCAGGTCTGATAAAGGATAGTGATCATAAAGAAAGAGTGATTGTTGTTTAAGCTTTCAGGTAAAATTAACACTCTTAACACTAACACTCTTTGTAGAACAGTAGGTCCATTAATATATCCTCATTTGTGAGACTAAATAATAAAACTACATAATAATTGATATACTTTTTATGCTGTCAATTCACTATGACCATGCCACCTGGTCTATTAAACGTGTACATGCAACTACAGAACATAATCACACTCTAACTGGTTGCTCAAACTGTGACTCTGAGAAACTATAATCAATAAGACAATTAGGCATTAAATAGGCAGTGATGTGTTTAAGCTTTGACTCTGTAGACTTTTACTGACGATATAGAGCACTAAATATTCTGGACACACTTGACTTGAAATTTGAGAAGCCGAGCTGCAGACTGAAGCCTGAAGTTGCTCTATTGTTGGTTGTACAGGTACTACCAGTGT